CTCTTGATATAAGGGCTAATTAGAGAACAAGAGCTTTAGCTGAGGAAAAGGAAAAATATCATCTAGTAAATTTTTTAACTGCACAGATGTAAGGTATGTTTTTCCACTGGTTTTTTATGTGTGTGGGTTTTTGGGGTTTGGGGTTTGGTTTTTTTTTTTGGTCTTTTTGAGACAGGGTCTCCCTGTAGCCCCAGCTGTCCTGGAACTCACTGTGTAGACCAGGCTGGCCATGAAATCACAGAGATCCACCTGCTTCTGCCTCCCGAGTGCTGGGATTAAAGGCATGCGCCGGCATGCCCAGCCTGTTGTTTTTTTTTTTTTTTTTTAATTACTCCTCTTAGAATTTTTAACCTGAAGTAATCATCTTTTTTGCCTTGGGTAATTTGTTTTGTATAAGGAGAAAAGAAAGGGCTGTGTCTCTGTTGGAAGAGGGTTCTCATATCATGCAGTGTGCTTCCCGACAGAAAATAGGTTACTAAATACTGTTAGTCCAGACTACCAATGTTGTTAGAGATGCAAAAATCATGCTTAGAACTGGCGTTTTTTTTAACTTTTTATTTTTATTTTATGTGTATGAGCATTTTGCCTGCATGTATGTAAGCGCACCCATGTTGTGCAATGCCCATGGAAGCAAGAAAAGGGCGTCAGATCCCCTGGACCTGGAGTTATGGACAGCTGCTAGCCCTCATGTGGGTGCTGAGATTCGAGGTCAGGTCCTCTACAAGAGCAGCCAGTGCTCTTAACTGTGACCATCTTCCAGCCCCACAACTGGCATTTTAAGAACTATTTTCATACTCTTCAGGGGCTATATTAGCACTACTTTATGTCTCAGTTATTTTTCTGAATGAAGGAGATGAACCTTCATTCCTGAGTTGTTCATCTACCAGCCATCTCACATTCATCTTCAAACCTTGGTCAGAACACACTTCCTTTCACTGCATCCTTTCCATGGCTTTATCTGGGAGCATTTCTGCGGGTATTTTAACTAATACAATTTCCCATTCAACGAGGCAAGCTAGTAGCACAGCAGGCTCCTTCAGTGGATGTCTTTTCCTATGAGAAGCTACAGGTTTAGCCAGTAGCACTCTGACACGCTGGTGAAGAAGAATGATTCAATTCACCCACCCATTCTCTCTGCCACCAGGAATGGGCTTATTTAGATATTTATCTTCTTATTAAAAAGAAAGTGGGTGTGGGGACAACTAGTATCCTACTTAATTTTTTTTAAGTTTTCTCTTAAGACAAATTACATGGGGGTATTGGAAGCACTTGGTGTTGGTGGGGGGAGGTAAGTAGGTGTGGCGTATGCACACGTGTGTGGGGACACAAACCTGTGCACACATGGAAGCCAGAGAAGGGTATTGGCTGTCCACCTCTATCACTCTCTGCCCTGTTCCTCTGAGACAGAGTCTCTTGATGAACCTGGATCTCATGGTTTCTGGCTAGCCTGGTAGCCAGCAAGCCAAAGCAATCCTCCTGTCTCCACCTCCCACCCAACCCCCACTCAACATTTATGCGGATGCTGGGGTTCAGACTCCTGTCTTCTTGCTTGCACAGCAAGCAGTCTTAACCACAGACCCGTCTCTCCAGCCCATTACTTGCTTTTCTGTCAACCAAATGTGTACTGCTTTCTCTGAGGGTCTATTTCCCTCTACAATCTAAACCTAGACCAATGAGGAGCTAATGGATCTATTCCACACCCTTCAGGAACTTCCTGTGACTTAATTTTTCACTCCCAAGCTTTCAGTAAAGCTTGAGTTATACTCTCCACCAAGACAAACAGAGATTGGCCATATTGCTCCTTAACAGCAAATTCATATAAGTTAACAAGCACAGAGCAAATCAATAACCTCTTCTAAAAAACAAAGGCCCTCTATCAAAACCTGAACCACACAGGGCCTGAAAGATGGCAAATCAGTTAAGAGCACTGACTGCTCTTCCAGAGGACCCAGGTTCTGTTCTCAACACCCACATGACAGCTAACAACCATCTGTAACTCCAGGTCTGGGAAGATCTGACACCCTCTTCTGGCCTCTTCAGGCATTGCACTCATGGATGCACTTAGATACATGCAGGCAAAACTCTCATACACATTAAAAATTTTAAATTAAAATCAGTCAGTCAAAACCTGAACTGAACTTGAATGGCTAGTACAGAGAAGCAGGAATTACAGATGCCCAATTATAATTGTTTTCATTTTGTGTGTCACCTTCCATTTGTAGAAATGGGGTTACTAGTATGTATCTACATCACAGGGCTATTGTGAAGTTAATGTGGTGTGTGGAAAGGTACTATATAACCATTCTAAACAAATGAAAAATGTAAAGCTTTGTTGTCTGAGGAGGACAGGTGTGACCATGCTGTGATGTGCTCCCTGTTGCCTCCTTTAGAAATGAGGTACTCCTTCCTCAAGGGCCGGGCACTCTCACCTGAGACGCTTAGTAGGACTTGCTTTGGGCTGAAGAGATCCATTTTGCCAGAATTAAGCACCACACCACTCAGTCTGAGTCCCTTGACTGATTGATGGGCAGGAGTAGGGGGTGAGAGTCAGCTCCCTTAATTCAAGACAAACCTGAAGAGCCATTCCAGGCCCAGAGCACCATAGGATGAGGATGAGGATGAGGATGAGGTGAGGAGGGTCACTGTTGTAACTACATTAGTTCAACTTTCCCTCTCTGCAATCTGCTTCCCTTGTAACCTCACAGGGACAGCTCCTAAGAGCATTCTTACACAAACTTCAGTTTCAGGGTCTCAGAGAGCCCAGACTGTAACAAATAGAATTATTTGCGCTTACATGTCCTATTTGATTGCCAGCCTTATATGAAAAATTTTACAATAAGAATTTTTTTAGTGTGAAAGAGAAAACATGAAGGCACAATCATATATGAAATACTTCAGGACATTAAAGATCAACTACATTGTTGACAGGCAATATTCACATCCAAAACTTTACATTTTAGTTTTTACATCAATAGCTTTAACTTCAGGGAAAAGCAAAGGTGATGGAAGAGAGTTACCCCTAGGTTGTCTTTAAAGAAGAGTGGGAATTTTCCAGGCAGCTAGGGATAAGAGAGCATTCCAAGCAGACGAAATGGCTTTAGCAAAGGTTATTAAATGTGAGCATATGGGAAGCTTCAGGGCCTTCATGTGGATGGATTAGTGTGGACCAAGGAAAGGGACAGGAAATGGACAATGGGAGATGGCATTCGAAAGGCCAAGGGCGAGACTGTGAGGACCTGCAGGACCTCCCACACAGGAGAGTGAGCCCTGCAGCCGCCGAAGACCAGTGAACAGGGTTGCGCCAGGAAGTCGGGCAGTCAGGAAGCTGATCAGTTGGAAGCAGGGAGAGATTAAGGGTGAGGAGGCTGGGTAAAGAGGCAATTGCAATAATGTAGTTAGGACACAATGGACACCTGATCTAAGACGAGGTCTTGGCCCCCACCACACCCCCAGCTTCTATAAGGCTTTAGCTTTTGGTAGCCTTTCCAGAGTGCTGAAGGACTAGAGAGCCACCAGCTAAACGTGCAGAAGAAAAGAATAGGGGTTCCTGGGGAAGAAACAAAAGTAATCTGATGAGGGCTGAAAAGAGAATAGAGGCAAATACATTAAAGAATAATAGCCAGCCAGAACTTTAGAAGAAAACTGTTCCAGGAAGAAAATTCAATTAGCGTGTGCTCCTTGGCTCTGCAGGGAATATTTACATAGCCATAACTACATTGAGGCTGATATTGGTTTTCAACCTATCAACAACGCTAGCCTATCAACAACGCTAGAAGACAGCAACACGGCCTTGGAATAGACAGAAATGCTATTAACTTAGACAACATAAAGTGAAAGTGATTGTTAAAAGGGGAAAAGGGTAAAATGGGAGTAGGGATCTAAATAAGTAGTCCAAAAAACATCAGGAAAGGTGACGGAGAGGTGATCACCAAAAGAAAAAAACTAAAAGATCAAAAGTGGTCCCTCCAGGAACCAAGTTTACTTGGGATTTAATGGCTTATTCTTACAAAAGGAATGAGTCCTTTAGTTAAAATAATTTGTTGGAGAGATAGCTAAGCTGTTAAGAGTGCTTGCTACTCTTCTAGAGTTCAGTTCCCATATCCGGCAGCTCGCAACCCCCTGTAAGTCAAAGGAATTTGACGCCCTCGCCTGAACTCCATGGGCACCCACACACATATGGCATACACCACACACATACACACACACACACACACACACACACACACACACACAAGTAAATATTATAAAT